ATTATATGTAACAATATTTGTTTACACAACAATTGTCATGTGATGTAGCATCAAGTGCGAAATATCATTAAATATATATAATTTAGTTTGATTAGTAGATTTTTATCTATTAATAGTTTTTTTGTGAGTTAATTTTATTTATATTAATTATGGTTTGAGTACTTAAGTAGAAAAAAAATCCTTGACTTGACATTCTTGTCAAGTCAAATCTTGTGAGTGATTCTGAGAATGAGAGAACTTTTTGTAAAGATTTGCTTTACTAAGGTGTTTAAGCCATTATAATAAAGCTTTATAATTTCTCTTATTTTCCATACTTGTACTCTTAAATTTTTCTTTTGTAGTGTGACAGATAGCTTGACTTAATTTGATATAGATTTCTAATCTTTCTTTGAAAGTGTCTTAGATGTGTATTTGTAATTGGTTTAAATTACATATTTTATGATTAATTTGTAGCACTCAATTTATTGTATATAAAAATCTTTCTTTACATATCAAAGGAGAATATAAAATATTATAAAATATTTGTAATCATTATTTTTTCAATATCAGCTTTTAATATAACCTCTCTCTTTCCAAAAACATTATAAGCTTCTCCACTTGCTATGGTAAGAATTCTACATCCTACTTCTATGACATTTTTGATAGAAAATTTTTTATTAGTTACATGTTTGCTACAATTTAAGTCTATATTAACCTTATAGATTTTTGAACTCAATTAATGCTATTTTGAATCTATTTGTCTCATCTTTCTCACTTTTCTCTTTGAGTTCTGATCAACTAGTAAATAAATACTTTCTTTATAATCCACAAGAGGTTCTTTATAGTTGTAATAATTTCTCATAATATGCTTGGGCTTCCTACATACATAATAATAAATTAGCAATTCTTGATCTTAGCCTTATTCAATTCTTGATGAAATTTTCTATTATAGTCTATGAATGCTACTACCTTAACCAAAAGTGTTAAAACGTCTCTTTCTATTCTCTAGTAGAATAGCTTTTGTATCTACAAGTTGAATAATGTTGATAGATGATTGCTTAACCTTTGCTAGTGTCTCCAAGTAATGTACTTTGATATTAAATTCAAAAGTATTCAGTTAGCAATACTCCGCTAACTTCTTCAAATGAGAAAAACATCCTTTTATGTATCATATTTAATATGAAAAATTCATATAAGCAAGATAATCCATTCAATATTTACTAAAAAGGTATAAATTCTCCTATTAAAGTTCCAAATTATTTCAAACAATTCTTAAAATCTTATCCAACATTAAGATATTCTTCAATAATACTATTTTCTTGCATTCTTAGGAAATTCAACTGATTTGTAGATAGTAGAATATGAGATGTTCTTCCTTGTTTGTATGAAGGTTGCAAAGCTTTTCATGTAAAAGCCAAGGTTTATATGGCTAGCTATGATGTATAGTAGATTATCTTTGTTAAACAATATAATTATTGACATTATACTAGTTTTTTGGTCCTTGAGACTTTCTTCACTTATTTGTTTTCTTCCTATAATTATAGAAAGTATTAGTGGAGTCACTACTTAAGAATTGATATCCCATAATCTCTTTCTAAACAAGGTTGTCATCTTAATTTTCCATGCTAACTAGTTTGTTGTTTCTTTTAATTTGTTTGACTCTCCTACTCACATATTTTTCATTTGATTTGCAACCATTTCAACTATTATATTCGACTAATAATTTTAGATATTATATTTTAGATATTGTATTAGAAAAAATAGCAAAAATTACACCATAAAAGAACAAAAATCTCTCCCTAAAATTCTAATACCATGAAAGCAATTTATTCTATATTTTAACTAATTCTAAAGGTAATAACTTTCAATGATCTTTCTTAAATATTAAGATACTCTAAGTAAAAAAATTAGAAATTTATTATATTTTATATATAATACCAAAGTAGTAATAAAATTATGATTAAAAAAATAAATAAGTAAAAAAAAAAAAAATTTTAAAAAATAAATAATTATCAAAAAATTTATATTATACTGATAAGTTTAACTCTAGTTGAGAATTTTATAAATTCATCTTAATAATTTCAATGAATTCTATAACAAAGAAAAATAAAATAATTTCATCAATTTTTAAAATAATTTTTTAAAAACATATTTCAATAAATAAAAATTTATAAAGTACTCTATACAAAATAATAATTTGTTTACATCAATAACTTTATATTAGGTAGTTTATAAAAATAAAAGTCAAATCACATATAGCCTTAAAACACCTTAGATGTAATAATACATAGTTTTTATAAGTAATGATCAAAATATTTCAACCTTTAAGTCAGCCATAAGATCAAATATTTTTTTAATTACTATTAATATGTTGTAACTTCCATATATATATATATATATATATATATATATATATATATATATATATTATAAAATTGGTACTTATATTTTTAAATTATATAAGATTTCATTAAACAAATAAATTTAAATATTAAAGTAAATAATGATATAATTCATACACCATAAAATTACAAAAACTAAGTTAGTAAAGTTTAAATTTTGATAAATATAATAAAAAATATAAA